TGTGAGGGAGTTTTTAGCCAGAAACCAAATAACTGTATTGGAACACCCTCCCTACTCACCTGATCTGGCCCCCATGACTTCTTTCTTTACCCGAAGAGAAAGTAAATATTGAAATGAAGACATTTTGATGACATTCAGGACATCAAGGGGAATATGATGACAGCTCTGATGGCCATTCCAGAGAAAGAGTTCCAAAATTGCTTTGAAGGGTGGACTAGGCACTGGCGTCAGTGCATAGCTTCCCAAGGGGAGTACTTTGAAGGTGACCATAGCGATAATCAGAAATGAGGTATGCAGTACTTTTTCTAGGGTGAGTTCATGAACTTAATTGTCCGACCTCTATGTTCCCCACAGTCCCCAGGAATAATAAGACTCAATATACAAATGTGCTAAATTAAAATAGACACAAACACCTTACCTCACTTCTCACACCTTGGTTTCCTCTCCTGTAAAATGGGGATAATATACCGTCCTATTTCAGCAGATTGTGCTGAGGAGGAAATGATACGAAGGCTACACAAATTGGGAGTCCAAATAACCTGGGCCCTGGGAGGCCACCAGTGTTCCCAGGTTTTTAAAGGTTTCTCCTGCTATATGCTGGGTGCCCCCCACGCTACTGGGAAAGGTTCTTGCCCTCCTTGGTCAGGGAACCCCCACTCACCTCCCTCCTGCCTCCATGGGACCTGTGTTTCCTCCTCTGAGGGGAGCAAATGGAGGAAGAGGGGCCAGCACATACTTCCCAGTGAGGCTGGGGCCAGGGGCATAGGCTGCCACCAATCCCTGCTGGCTGCAAGTGTCCCCTCAGCCCAAACTCTTATTGCCATGACTTACTATTTCATGTAAGTCATTTCTCGTGTGCAGGATGTCCCCTCTTGGATTGGCCCTGCCAGCCTCTGCTTCCACCCCACAACCCAGGCATTGGGGCCCCATCTCTGAGTCTGAGTCCCAACAAAGGCAGGCCCCAGGCAGGGGACCTGCAGCCACCAATCCGAGATAGGACTTTCCCAGAGCTGATGGGAGAGCCCCTGCGAGGTGGAGCATGGCGAGACCCTCACTGGTGTTTGGGCTCCCGGGAGGATCCCCTCCCACTGGAGAAAGAGAGGGGGGCATCGTCGCAGCCACCTCCCTGCTCCCTGTCCTCTTTTTTTCCCAGGCCGTGGGAGGCGAAGAGTTAAATCCCATAGAGCTGCTGCTCTGACTCCAGGCTAGAGGGGCCCGGGAAGCTGGGGTCACTTCCTGCTCCGTCCCAGTCACCCTGAACTGGTCCCCGGGTCCTCAGCCTGGGATCACCCCTTGAGAAGGACCCCAGCGTCCTCGGCATCTAGCCCGCCCCCCCAACCCCAGGCAGGGCATTCAAGGGGTTAAGTCCCCTGGGGCTGGATTCCACCTTCCGCCTTTCCCAGACCCCAGAGCCGTGAGTTGGGGACGCCTGGGTTCCTGGGGGGTGGCCCGGAGGGGCCCGGACGGTGGCCGGGAACAATGGGGCACTCGCAGAGGCAGCGGCCCCGGGCCTGCGCCCCCCTCCCCCCCTCCCTTGGTCGCTGGGGTAGGGCTGGGGGCCGGGCAGGGGCGCCGAGGGCCGAGGATTCTGGGAAGAGCGCGAGGGTCTGGCTGTGGGGGAGGGGAGGCGTGAGCATTCTGGGAAGAGGGAATTCGACCGCCAGGCCGGGGCTGGGGGCTGCGGGACAGCCGGGAATCCTGGGGGCTCAGGAGGCGGAGGATGCCCGGCTCTGCGCTGGGAGCTGAAAGATGGTGGCAGGGTCCAGCTGTTGAAGTGCAGGGTCTGGGTTGGTGCGGCCGGGGCGAAGCGGGGGGCCCGTGGGCCAGGATGGCTGCATGCCGGCCGCTGCCTCCATGTCAGGGTCACCCTGGGCCGCTTTCCACACCTCTCTGCGAGGCAACCTCCCCCCCCCCCCCAGCAGTGGGGCTGGTAGGAGGTCTGAGGTCTTAGGCCTGGGCCTGGGTCTGCTCCAAACACTTCCTGCCTCCCTGGGTCTTCCCATTTCATGCCCCTGGTCGTCCCTGTCCTCTACCCCTTCCCTGTACTCTAGACCACTGAGCTTGTATTTCTCGAAATAATCAAGGTACATAAGGTCTTACCTGTACTCAGCAAGCAGCAGGGCACCCTTCCAGGCCTCCTCAGAGCAGTCAGGCAGCCCCAGCTTGGCAGAGGTTTCTGCTTCTACCTCCCCCAAAGACACTTACAGAGGCGGGAGGGGAGGCTCTCAAAGCCTTAAGGAGCTGCAGAAATGAAGAAATTAATTGACTTCCTAAAATCCAACTCCTGTCTCCCCTACTGCTATTTGGCAGGGTTCAGCCAGCCCCTGCTTCACTTGGGTTTCCTCCCAGCTGCCTCCTCTAAGTCCTGGCCATGTCTCCTTGACCACTGCTCCCATGTCCACAGTGCCCAACCCACGTGGCCACCCAAAGCCCAGGCTTTCCCCAGGGGGCTCTCTTAAGGGTTGAAACACTGGGGGAAGTTCACTTAGCTCCTGTCGCCCTCTTCCCTCAGCCTGGAATCATATCACCCTTCATGGAGTGACAGCTGGCTGTTTTACCAGGAGGCCACTCTGAACTATCCCTTTGCTGCCGTCCCCTTGCAAACTGACCTCTAAAGGCATTGGACAAACAGGTTTTCCAGGAGCAAGGGGAATCTCATTTATTTTCAGTTTATTCAACAAAATGGATCAAATGCCTATTACAGGTTAGGCATTGTCCTAGGCAAAGCATGGGCAGCAGCCAAACAGAACAGGGGTCCAGAAGGAGGGGACCAGAGTGGGACAGACGCGCACGACTCCTGTGGGGAGGACTCTTAACTCCGCAGGGAGCTCATAGGCTCAAATTGTCAGGCTAGTTACCGGATCCAATCCCTCTTTTTACAGCCAAGCACATCTCGGTCCCAGGAATTTCTCCATCCCTTTCTCATGGCCAGCAGGCTCCCCTAAGCTTTCCTCATCACTGTCCCTGCCAGCAGCCCACGGGTTTTATGAGTTTCACATGACTCCCAAGGTCATCTCCCTCTCGGAGGCTGGGGCAAGCCAGACACAGAACCTTGCATGTCTGGTCTGTGCCACTTCCCGGCCGGTGACCTTGGAGAAATCTCCCTGAGAGTTGGTTTCCTAGTCTGTGAAATGGACAACCTGATGTCTGGGTCTCCTCGTGGGACTGCGGGGAGGATTGGGTGAGATAACGAGGATGGCACAGCACTTACTGAGTCAGCGGCCAGGTAGTCTCCCCACACTTCTCCTTTCTCTTCCTTTCCACTGCCCTCTCCAAGTGGTTCCTGCAGAAGCCCCTGCTGGCTTTAAGATGCCCCTCCCCCCACTTGGAGCCTCACCTTTCTGTGCTGGGATAACCAGAAAATACCCCCGTCCTGGAGGGCCCTGGTCCCCTCAGGGAAATCAGGGTGGTTTCTTTTTCTTTTTAACTCCTTAAGAATCCCAGGCAGTCTCAGTTCTCTGTGCAGCTCTTAAGGCAAGTTTATTGGTCCCAATTAGCAGCCCCATTAAGGAAAATTAGAGTCTTAATGAGCTTCCTCTGATTAGCAAAATAACAGGTTTCCTAGCCTCTGGGCATCAGAGGAGTGGGGTGAGAGCCTCCTTCCCCTGTGGGTGTCAGATCCATCTCCAGCCCCCAGCCTGGGTTCACAGGGTTATGACTGATGAGCTTTTAATTACAGTCTGAAATTCACCCTACTTGCTCAGCTGTGATCTTAAGATCCGGAGCAGGAATGAGGGCTGTGGGTATGGGCTGGGGGCGTGGGGGTAAGGTAAGAACTGTGCCCAGCAAAATGGGTTGGTAGGAAAGTGAAGTTCTCAAAAGGAGGACTGAGGGCTGGGGGCTGGCAGGTGTGTGTGGGGGGTAAAGAGTGGGAGGTTAGTTTCCATCGTGTGCTCCTGTCTTTCCTCCCCCAGGGTCCCTGGAACACTGGGCAGTTGTGAGCTCCGGGATGGAGCCTGAGGCTGCGCTGTGGGGCCCAGACCTGCGGGGTCCTGAACAGAGCCCCTGCGATGCTCACAGAGGTGAGGGGCGTACGAAGGGACTGCGGCTCTGACAAGACAGTGGCCCCTGTTCAGGGAGGGGCCCAGACTCTGGGGGAAACTCAGGGGAGGGAAGAGAGACGGAGCCCGTGTTCTGAAAGGAGATGGGGGCTGGAGACTCCCTTTCTCTCTGTAGGTGCGGAGAGCGGGAATGACGAGGACAGCCCTCGGCAGGAAAGTTCTGGGGAGGAGGTCATCTTGGGAGATCCAGCTCCGAGTCCAGAATTCAAGGACCCACCAGAGATGCCCCTGGAGAGACCCTCCCAGGATTCCTCAGCTCCCCAGGACCCCCCAACCGCACTGGATCACTCCAACGCCTTGGACCACCAGACCCCTCTGGATGCCCCCACCCCCGAGGTTGTCCCCACACCGTCGGATTGGACCAAGGCTTGTGAGGCCAGTTGGCAGTGGGGGACTCTGACCACGTGGAACAGCCCCTCGGTGGTCCCGGCCAGTGAGCCCAGCCTGCGTGAGCTGGTGCAGGGCCGCCCCTCGGGGACCGAGAAGCCCTACATCTGCAACGAGTGCGGCAAGAGCTTCAGCCAGTGGTCCAAACTACTGCGACACCAGCGCATCCACACGGGGGAGCGGCCCAACACCTGCTCCGAGTGCGGCAAGAGCTTCACGCAGAGCTCGCACCTGGTGCAGCACCAGCGCACGCACACGGGCGAGAAGCCGTACAAGTGCCCGGACTGTGGCAAGTGCTTCAGCTGGAGCTCCAACCTGGTGCAGCACCAGCGCACGCACACGGGTGAGAAGCCGTACAAGTGCACCGAGTGCGAGAAGGCCTTCACCCAGAGCACCAACCTCATCAAGCACCAGCGCTCGCACACGGGCGAGAAGCCCTACAAGTGTGGCGAGTGCCGGCGCGCCTTCTACCGCAGCTCGGACCTCATCCAGCACCAGGCCACACACACGGGCGAGAAGCCCTACAAGTGCCCCGAGTGCGGGAAGCGCTTCGGCCAGAACCACAACCTCCTCAAGCACCAGAAGATCCACGCTGGGGAGAAGCCGTATCGCTGCACCGAGTGCGGCAAGAGCTTCATCCAGAGCTCAGAGCTGACCCAGCACCAGCGCACGCACACAGGCGAGAAGCCCTACGAGTGCCTGGAGTGCGGCAAGAGCTTTGGCCACAGCTCCACGCTCATCAAGCACCAGCGGACGCACCTGCGCGAGGACCCCTTCAAGTGCCCGGTGTGCGGCAAGACCTTCACGCTGAGCGCCACGCTGCTGCGCCACCAGCGCACGCACACGGGCGAGCGGCCCTACAAGTGCCCTGAGTGCGGCAAGAGCTTCAGCGTGAGCTCCAACCTCATCAACCACCAGCGCATCCACCGCGGTGAGCGGCCCTACATCTGCGCCGACTGCGGCAAGAGCTTCATCATGAGCTCCACGCTCATTCGCCACCAGCGCATCCATACGGGCGAGAAGCCCTACAAGTGCTCCGACTGCGGCAAGAGCTTCATCCGTAGCTCCCACCTCATCCAGCATCGTCGCACCCACACAGGTGAGAAGCCCTACAAGTGCCCCGAGTGCGGCAAGAGCTTCAGCCAGAGCTCGAACCTCATCACCCATGTGCGCACCCACATGGATGAGAACCTCTTCGTGTGCTCCGACTGCGGGAAGGCCTTCCTAGAGGCGCACGAGCTGGAGCAGCACCGGGTGATCCACGAAAGAGGGAAGACCCCAGCTCGGAGAGCTCAGGGCGACACTCTCCTGGGGCTTGGGGACCCCGCTATGCTGACCCCGCCCCCTGGAGCCAAACCACACAAGTGTCTCGTCTGCGGAAAGGGATTCAACGACGAGGGCATTTTCATGCAGCATCAGAGAATCCACATTGGAGAAAACCCCTACAAAAATTCAGATGGCCTCACCGCACACCCAGCCCCCAAGCCGCCTCAGTTCAGATCCCCCAGGCTCCCTTTTGGAGGGAATTCCTACCCAGGTGCTGCGGAGGGCAGAGCTGACCCCCCGGGGCAGCCCTTCAAAATGCCTGATGGGCAGGAGGGCTTCAGCCAAAGGCTGGGCCTGTTGTCCTCCAAGTCCTACATTTGTTCCCACTGTGGAGAAAGCTTTCTGGATCGCTCCGTGCTCCTCCAACACCAGCTTACCCACGGCAACGAAAAGCCCTTTCTCTTTCCCGATTATAGGATTGGCTTAGCGGAAGGGGCGGGGCCCAGTCCCTTCCTAAGTGGGAAGCCCTTTAAATGCCCTGAATGCAAAAAAAGCTTTGGCCTCAGTTCCGAGCTGCTGCTACACCAGAAAGTCCACGCAGGTGGGAAACCCCAGAAGAGTTCCGAGCTGGGGAAGAGCTCTTCTGTCCTCCTGGAGCACCTCAGGAGCCCCCTGGGGGCCAGACCCTACCGCTGCTCGGATTGTGGGGCCTCCTTCCTTGATCGCCTGGCCCTCCTCCGGCACCAGGAGACCCACACCCAAGAAAAGTCCCCCAGACCTGAGGACCCCGTTCCAGAGCCAGCCACCCTGCCCACATGCCAGGAAGGTGAGGGAGAGGCCCCCAATCCCACAGGGAGCAGCAGCCATGGAGAAGGGGAAGCGGAAACCCCCAAAACCCTCTTGGAAGAAAAGCCCTATTTGTGCCCCGAGTGTGGAGATGGCTTCACAGAAGTTGCAGCCCTCCTCCTTCATAGGAGCTGCCACCCAGGGGTTGACCTGTGAAATGGGTCTGGAGACCAGGGACCTCTCTCCTGAGAGGAACACTGGATCTCCCCAAAAAATTATGTTGGGGGAGGAGGAAAACCCTATCAGATTGTAGAGATGGGGAGGATGGAGGGCCCTGGGTAAAAATAGTGCGTTTACATCAGTGACTAGAAACTATGAAATTGTTGGTCGGAACCACTTATAATGCAGTAGAGAAAAACTGTTGGGTTAGAAACCCTATAAATATGTAGGAAAAAAGCCCTTTAAGTCTGTAGCAGAAAAACCCTATAAACCATAGTGGATAAAAGCCCTATTAATTGTAGGAAGAGGTCCCAATATGTCTCTAGGCAACCCTATAAAACTGTATCAGAATCCTTGTAAAACTGTAGGATCAGGAGGTGCGTGCAGAGAGTGCAGCAATGGCATTGGCTTGGGAGGGGCGATCCTCAGAGGTGCAGATGGACCTCCCGGGAATTTGTTCCACAGTGTTCTCTCCCACTGGAGGAGGGGCAGGGCTCCTCCCCACAAGCCTTGGACAGTTATACCGAGGAAGATGCTCAGTGGGTAGTGTGGGAATTGGGTTGACCTGGAAAGGGGAGAAAACAAGATGGGAGCGAAATAATTAGTGATGAGGAGCCTTCAGACCCACAGAGGAAAAAAGACCCAGGAACTGAGGGGTTTCCTTGGGGAATGAGGCCACTCTTAGATGAATAGTGTTAGAGAAAGAGGCCCACAGAATTCCTTATGAGAAAGAAGCCAAAAATGGGGAAGGAAAAAAAAAAGATGTCCTGCCTTTTGAAAGGCTTAAGTTTGGGATACGTACTTTAAGGTAAGACTTCTGGGAAACCACCACAAAAATTAAGGGAGGTTCTTTGGGGTGTTCTGAGGGAAGAAAACCAAGTGGAGAAACCGATCAGATGGAACCCAGGGCTGCCCAGTCCTCCCCCGCCAGGCAGGACGACCTGTCCCCAGCACAGCTGGGGACTTGTGCTCTGAGAGGCCTCCAGGGATGGAGGGTCCCTCCTACATTCTCAGGTCTCACTGTCAGGAGGTGTCTCCTGAAATTGAACTGCCAGTCTTGCTGCCGTGGCAGGCCATTTCCTCGTATTCTGTCCTCAGTGGAGAGAACCGCTGCTAGTCGACCTCCAAAGAATAAAGCCCTTCAGCAACTCGAGGCCTGAGTGTGGCTAAACCCTCCCGACACTGCTCTTTCCCAGGTCAGCGAGAGTCACATGTAGGTTCTGTGTAGCAATGAGGGACAGGAAGTGGCCAGAACAGCGAGCTTGGATTAGCCAGCAACCTGCCTTTCCACATCAGTCTTTCCTCCGAGCTGATAGCATGGCTGCTGGCAGGATGAGCCAGCCTGCAGAGTGGTGGGTGTCCAAATACCCCACAGACGGGACTGCGGGTCCTTGAAGAGTATATGGAGGCCTGACCACCTTCCTCACCCCGGTATCTGGAGCTCTCTGAGCTTGTGACAGGCAGGCTAGCCCGATTGTGGTCTTGGCAAGGGACGGATTCCACCTACTCGGCTCCTCTCCTCCTTCATCAGAAACCCTCAGAGGGAAATGAAAAGATGAGAACCACATTTCCTGGCCAGACACACCCCAACGCAGCTACACACTTTCATGAACCCAGACAAACTTGCTAACATGACTGGGTGTGTGTGGCAGGGAAAAGAGACAATTGCTGGAGAAAACTCTTGAAACGTCTGTAACAAGAATCCCATCCCCTAACCCTGGAGATTCTGTCCAGTGCTGGGTCCAAAGGAAGTGCCCACTGACCCCATGCCGACCCCAGTAATGCACTGTGGTCCTGGAGTAAGAGAGCTGAGATGCCAGGTGAGGTGGCCCTTCAGGAGTCATTCCTCGAGAGGGTGACCCGGATTCCTACAAACCTATGGAAGAATTCTCTGATCTCATTGTCTAAAGTTCAAAGGGTGAAAGTCCTTCGCCCATCATCTACCCTGCTCCCAAAAGGATGGCCCTCACATTCAAAAGATCGCAGTCTAGAACATTGTAGGAGGAAAAACCCAGGCCTGCTGGGGAGAAGGAAAAGGCAGGCCGCGTGTGATTGAGGGGAGACCCTTGTTAACGTCTGCATGAAAGCCCCACCGGGTGGGAAAGCACTACTGAGGGAGGAGCCTGCCTGCCAAATCTCTACTGACAAAAGCGCCCACAAAAAGGGGGTGACCCTAAGACTGAGGAAGAGGAGACCAGCCTCCACGTCAAAGCAGATTTTTTCCCAAGATGGTAGCAGAAAGAAACTCTAGTTGTAGACAAACCCCTTGTAAAGCTAGCAGCAGATCCCCTCCGAACAGGTGTGAGGCATCTGTCTCAGAAGAGACAGCATCTGGGGGCTCTGGGGCCTTCCGGGGGGGAGGTGGTCGGTGTGGCCAAGGGCCAGCTGCGAGCCTATCGGGTATAAGGCACGTAGTAGGATGCTCGCATGTTGTAGTAATGGGTGATGTGGACACGATGAGTTGCGGTCTGGCCTTTTGTAGCAAAAAAGGGGCAGAGTCAGAGACCTTAGGGGTATGACCTCTGTGGTTCACCTCCCCAGATGGCTTTAGTCAGGATCTTCCCTCCTGAACAAACTACATTTTGGGAGGAATGAAGCAGGGAGCTAGTTGGGGTAGGTGGGAGTGTTGAGACCCTCTGACCAGCTCGGGCAGAGGCCCAGCCTGGAGTGGACGGCTCCATGAAGGCGTGACTCTTCAGAATACCCTTCTTAAGAGCCCAGCGGACAGGGTCACAGAGTCATTGGTGAAAGCAGAGGGAAGAATAGAAACTGATCTGAGCTTAGGGTGAAACTTGAAACTGCTATGGATATGGAGGTCAGATGGGAATGGGGCATGAATCCTGAATGATGGGGAAACATGAAACCGTCGCAACCAAGGGGCGGGGTTCCATGATGCCTGCCCCTGAGATGAGCAGCCCCCAGACTTCTCTGCCCCCATTAGGGAAGCCCTACTCACCTGACCTGTCCCCCTGGAATGATGAGAGGCCCCAGTTTTGAGTGTTGTGTGTTGATAACAGTGTTGTGTCAGCGGTGGTCATGTTGATTAGAATAAAGGGAATGAGACTTCCCAGGTGTTTTCTGTCCCCTCTTTCAAGCCTAGAACAAGCTGACAGGGCTTGTCTGCTCCCTGAGCCACAGTCCATTCAGAACCTCCAGAGCTCAGCCCAGTTCTAAGCTGACCTTGGACCCTTTTCCCAGAGGCCCTGAAATCCCCAGCCTGTGTGTACTGATGGGAGCTCGAGCGTTCATGGAGATTTAAAATCTGTACCCTTGGGCGAGAGGGAGAGAAGAAGCATTCCGAGGTGGTGGCCAAGCCAGGCAGCGCCTGTTGATGTCTGGCTTTGGTGGCAGCACCGCACGCTAACTGCTGGCTGGCTCAGGGCCAGCTGTGCAGCCCAGGGAAGCCTCCAGCCACACCACCTGCACCCTCCTCACCCCCCAGACTGCCACATGGGAAGTCTCCTAAGATCGGGTTCCAAAAACTGGAGGCCACCTCTCCTGGTTTACCTGGGTCTTCAACCTGGCCCAGTCATCCTCTGAAGCTGATCCACTTGAGGAGAGGTGGGTGGAGGAGAGATGGCTTGTCATCTGTCAGGATGAGCCTAGAGAAGGGCAGCCACTTGCCCAAGAGCCACAGCAAGGCAGTGAGGGAACGCAGGATGGCAGCAGCAGGCTCTGCACCCACCAAGCCTCCCCCATTGCTGGGCCTGAGGTCAACACTTGCTCTAACCCATCTCCTGCCTCTGCCCCTGTCGGCCGGAGGGGCAGGAAGCTTTCTCCCCACCTTCCCTGTGCTTCTCCAACCCAGACTCTGAGGGTGGACTCTCTGCTTGTCCTTCCCCTCACCTAACTGGGAAGCGGGGGAGGGAGAGGGCAGAGGTGCCTTTGATGGAGAGGAGAGGAATGAAGGCTGTCTCACATTCCCTGTGTCCCCAGTCCCGGGGACATTGAGGCACATCAGAACCAGTTCCAGCTCAGGAGGAGTCTTCAGTCAAGAGTACAGCACTGGGGCCAGGGAGCTGCTCAGACTTAGCAGAAGGGGCTGTGGACCCGGCCATGGAGCCTGCCACAACAGAGGGTCAGGCAACTGGCTGGAGGAAATGACCTAAGAGATGAGGGGGGAGAAACAGGAAATAACGTGCAGGGTTCAGGGGAGAGGGTGCCTAACAGTGGGTGTGGGTGTAAAGCATAAAGGGATGGGGGTTGGAAGGTAGAGAGCAGAGGCCAGAGTGTAGCACCGTGTTTGAGGAAATTAGAGAGAGGGCCTCTCTGGGGGCTTTTTAAGGAGTGACATGATTTTACCCCCATACCCCAGTGGTGTGGTTTGTCCAGGTCTGGACCTCAGGAGGGAGAGCTGGGCTGGAGGAGTTGGGCCTTAGCAGCTAGGCTATAGCTGTGGCCTTGGATAAAAACACCCAGGAAGAGCAGCAGAGTAGAAAGGAGCAAGTCTAGCTTATGGGTGGTGGGAGAGGACCAGCAGAAGACAGGGAATCTGAGGAAGAGGAAGGGAGTGCAGCACCGCAGGGTCCAAGGACAGTTCTGGAGAGTGATCAATTAAATGCTCCGCAGGACCCGTGGCCTATCAGACATTAGCCCTAGTTCTGGCTGAAACAGTCCTGTTCAGCCCCCAGGCCAACATTTGCTCACCCCCAGAGGTCAGCCAAGATCAGGGTTGGTCCAGGAGGAGTTTTGGCCTGCCCATCCCGAGGACCAGGGTTTCACAGCCACCAAGGCTCCTGGGCTGTAAAGAGGTCAAACTCCTGTCTGGAGGGCCCTGCTGGTCCCTAAGGTAGATCCTCCCAGCAGGGGGTAGGCTCCTTGCATACCAGTGTTTATGGAATGAATTCCTCTGTCCTTCCTGTGGCATCAGCACTTGCTCCTGCCAGTGAAATCCTGACATCTTTATCCCACTCTCTCGGGCTTGAGAAATGGTTTGATGCCTACTTTATTACGTATGAGGACTCACAGGATTTCTGAGTTCCTCTGGAGGTGGAGACTGGCCTAGGGCAGATGTTTGGGGAGGTGATGTGCAGTAACCTGCATTTACTTAAGGAGCCCACGTGGATGGAGGAGACTCCCAGGAAAGAGGGTGGTGCTCACAGAGGATTGGCTGACCCGAAGGCGCTCCCGGGCTCCGGGCGCCTCCTCTCAGAGCCAGCCGACTCTCTATGATGCAATGTGCTGCGTTTCCCCCGCCCAGCCCTTGCCACGGCTGCCCGCCGAGCCACGCGCACTTCCTCGGAGGCCCGATGCCATCCCCCGCCGCGGCCCGTGCCTCGCTGAGCGTGCCCACTGCCGGCAGCTCGGCGCAGGACGCCACCGTAGCCCGCGTGTCCGTCTCCAGTCCGACCTGGTCCAGCCGATGCGGCCCCTCCAAAATCCTGGGCTCCAGGTGGGGCCCGAAGACGGACACGGTCGGGAGTCCCTGCGAGGGCGCGACCGCCAGGTGTGCGGGGCCGCCTGAAAGCGCGCCTGCTGCCAAGCCCGCGGTCGCTACTGAACCCATGGCCCCGATGCCAGCTCCAGCACCAACATGGGTCAGCACGGGCCCTGCTGCGAGACCTAGTACAGCCTCTGTGACGGCTCTCTCTGGGGACCCGACAGCGCGCTGAACCCAGAAACTTCATTCGACACTCGCTACCCGAAGGGACATGGCCAGCGGCCGACGCTAATTGCACTGAAGGAAGTCACCCGCTGAGGCGTCCCGATCTGTCCGTCCGCGCGGGAGGGGCGGGTGAGGCCGTTGGGTAGGGACCGTCCGCAGGTTGGGTCCAGGACTACCTCTGGCCAGCATAACCGGGAAACCGGCTCGCCCCTCCGAGGACCTTGTCAGTTACCAAGGGACTACATTTCCCAGGGTGCAGCTCGCGGCCTTCCAACGGCCAATGACTCCCGGGGGCTCGGCGTGCCTGCGCGGAGGACGCTGGCTGGTCCCTGGGGATGGGCAGCTTCAGCCCTTCCCAGTGGAAGGATCGGCTAGCTTTGAAGTGAGAGCGACGCCTTTTCCCAGCCGAACGCTCCTCCCGCAAGCCCAGTCCGGAATCCAACAGTCGTTAGGACTGAGTGTAACCAGGTGTTGGAATGGGCAGGGGCACCCCGGGGTCTCTCGTCTGCACAGGCGTTCCAGGTTCACACGCCGCCAGGGTAGGCTCGGGCCAGATGCAGTAGTTATGTCAGGGACAGCGTTTAGAGCAGGACACCTGGCTACTCGGACCACAGACTGAGGGTTGGACGTTTATTCATAGCATACAGCCTACACATCTCGAGCGCAGGGTCCGAATGGGCCCTGCACTTGTCAGCAGTTCCACCTTCCGGGCCGGCGGGCTGCCTTCACAGCCCAGGGTCTGAGGTTGGGCAGGCAGCACAGGAAGAAGCATCGTGTACACAAGGTCAATCACAGGCTTAGATGAAGCTCTTCTACTGGAATGATCGGAAGTTGGCCCAGCGGCTAGTCTGTCCCCTCCCCTCTTGAGAAGTTCTGCCTGCAGTTAAGGCCACCAGGATGAAAGCGGGGTCCGCTGGGACCCACTGGAACCCTGGGAAGCAGGTGGGAGAGTAGGGATTGGGAAGGGCCTGATTTGACTAGAAACTGATAATTCAGCACTCCTAAAATGAGGCCAAGCTGACACAGCAATCAGAGCTTCCCCGAGGACATTGCCCCTGCACCCTCCAGGGGGTATCCCTTTCAGTCCTTAGCACAAGATCCAGACCAAAAGAGCCCACAGAATTCTATGGGACTGGACGGAAGCCCTGCCCAGACCAGGGGGTGCAAGTCTCCCTGAGCTCAGAGCCACAGTCTGGGGACCTGGCCCACCCTGGTCCTCACTTGTGGGTATGGAAGGAGGCAGTAAGCCTCCTCTTTCATGAGGTCACAGCCCAGTGAATTTCCTTCGGGCTGGGATAGGCATGTGGAGACAGTTGGAGAAGGGATGGGGCCAGCCTTCCAGGAAGCTCCATTGGATGCTCTGGGCCTCTCCAATGTCTCCCAGACCTTTCCTGCAATGCAAGTGCCCCCTAGGCCAAAGCCCTGACTGTGGGGAAAGGTGGGACCGAGCTGGGCTATCTCACTCCCATTAACGAGCACTGGCCCCCCCAAAAAAAACTAGGTGGGGAGGGGCTGGGCCACAGAGTCCAGAGCACAGGGTGGGGGCCACTGAAAGTGGGGTGGGGCAGGGCTGGGGGCACAGCCCCCAGGATCCCTGGGTATCAGAGTCCCCGAGTTACAGGCTCAGCTGATGTAGACGCGGTGGAAGTCGTGGGCGCCGAAAGCCGAGTTGCACTTGGGGCACTTCCTCTGGCGGGCCTCGTAGCGGCCACGCACGCACTCGAAGCAGAACACGTGGAAGCACTTGGTGAGGACGGCGTCCTTCTTGCGAGTGTTACAGCAGGGGCAGGTCAGCCGCGCCTGGGCCGGGCAAAGGCGTCAGCTAGGGCACAATCCTGCTGGGGCCCAGACCCTAAGCCGACAGCAGGTGGTGGCCAGGCTCAGCCACTGCCCAGCAGAATGCACCTATCACCACAACCCTAGGAGGGGACGAGCACCCTCCATGAGGAAGCCAAGCCTCAAGTGGCCACACAAAGCTCCACAGCAGCATGTGGATTCTAACAGGGCCATGTGGGGCTGTAGCCATATGTCCCTCCTCAAGGCCAACCCCCCATAGACTCAGCCTAGGCTTTTCTGCCCTGGAGCTGCGCTGCTTTCCACTCTGGCCTCCCCTGGAAACACCCCAATCCTGTCTTAAGCCGACTGTCTACTCAGCTGGGCACAGCAGTGCCATGAAGAATGTGCTGTCTCCAGCCTCCACTGGGCCCACCCCTGGTGCTGCCAGAGACCCTGCTGTGGGTCCCTGGAGCTCTCCCAATCTCCAGTCCTATTCTGAAACCTGCTCCTGCCCCCAGGTCTCACTGCCAACTCCAGACGGGAATCCCTCAGTTCAGCATTGCCCAGCATTCCTCCTCTGCCGTCTGCCTGGAGTCTCAGCCCGTCTGCCCCCTGCCCCTTCTTCCCAAGCTCTTAGAACCTACCCACCAGCATCCTACAGGTTTCAACATGTCCCTTTTTGAGAAACCCTTCCCTTCTCCCCATGGCTGCCTCCCACTGCCTCTGCTCCTTCAAGGCCAAAGTGCTTCCAAAGGTTTATTACTTAGTGACCCACTCTCCGCCCTCTCTTCACTCCAGTGCGTGAGCGGGCAGAGCCATTCCCACCACAACGCCAAATCCAAGGACTGGGCATCGCCCGTCCCTCACTCCACCTGCCTCTTGGTGCTGACAGCTCCCCTGCCTCCCTTAACTTCTCCCCCATCAACTCCTACATCACTCTCCTGCCTCCCAAACCACAGGCTTCTCTGTCTCTGCCCATCATTTAAGCTCTGAGGTCCCTAAGGGAGAAGAATGACCCCGTCCCTTCTCATGCCACAGACCCTCACTTCCACCGCTGCCTCTGTGACAGTCCTCAAGCCATTCTCCACACCAGTCCTTTGCTTCTGAGGGGCTTCCCAGACAGCCTGCCAGGAGGTCCCAAAGGACCCTCGTTCTCAATATCCTGAACAGTGTCCACCAGCCTCTACTCCTCAGCAGTTTTCCTAATCCCACTAAGTGCCACTTGTCATCCACCCAGTTTCTCACAGCAGAAACCAGGAGTCTTCCGCACATTCACCCTCTGGCCCATTGCACGCATCCCGTCTGTCCCAAGCCTGGGCACTTGCGCCTCCTAATTATCTCCTGAACTCCTCTACTGGTTTCTAACACCATGGACTAACTCCTACCAGGTTCTGCCCTGACTGCAACAGTGTAACAGGTTCCCTGCTTCTCGTCCAATCAATAGCAAATCAGAACCACATCACTCTCAGGTCTAAAACCCTTTCACACGTGCACGCTGCCTACAGGGTAAGTTCAGCTCTCATCCTGCCTTACCACACCCTTCAAGACTTGTCACTACCCAACGCCCAGGCTTGCCGCTACCACAAAACCCACGTTCTGTCCCCCAGCCTGCTGCTCAGCTCGGGGCCTCCACTCTGCAGGGACCCCCTTGTCCCCATTCCCCACGGCCGGCTCTGACTCTTCCTTCCTGATTCCTTCAGAAGCTTGCTGTCGCCCAGGGCTGGTTTCCGGTCCTCCCCTGAGCTTCCACAGCCCCCGGGGCCTCTGTTATCACACTGCTCATCACTCAGATGGGAGAATTACAGGGCTGCCTCCTCCAGCACGCTGTCAGTTTCAGGAGCTCTGCGTCCAGGTCTGGTTGTAGCCCTGCCACACCTCGCCAGGCACTCTCCCTGGCAGGCAGTGTGTGTACAATACTTGGTCAGCTGTCTGATTCCCCACAATGGGGAATCCCCTATTACTGGGATCCCCAGACTACCCACTACAGTTCTCACCAGCCCCCATCTAAGATTTCTCTGTTGACGGGGCACAACTCAGCCCCACAGCCACACCTTATACTCCTTGATCTCCTCCTGGAGGATTTCATCCGCATCTGCGTAAACCTCCACCTTCCTCTGCTTCTCCAGCTTGCGCCGCAGCCGTGAGATGTCCTCCTGAAGCAGGAGGGGCTGGGCTGAGTGCAAGGGTCCACATCCCGAAGCCCCGCCCAGGCCGCAGCAGGGACCC